ACAACCCCGTAACAATATGCGTTTTGTACTGCTGTTACACAGCACAAAACGCATAAAAAGTGATAAATTTTTGTGTGAATTTAGAGGTGCAGCTGAAGGGCAGGCGAAAAAATTCATAAGAAACCTGGATAATAATGTAAGTGATGGCAATGAACATAATGAGTAGCAAGGCTTGAAGACAAAGGGCGAAGAATGTGAGCGAGCATTTTACTTCTGTGTTGCACTCCATCTGAGGAACTTCCCTCTGTAAATCGAAGCATCACTTTAAAATTATAACGCAACAGACTATTACTTAACGATCTGATCATGTCCGCTCAATAAATTTTAGGCTATGTCGAATTCAGCTTACATGAGTGACCATTCGATTGTTGTCGTTATGTCCATTCATTTGCATCATCCGGAATTCACTATCTTCTTAACAAATGAAATTAGACCGTACACTTAAGGTTATTCAGCGCAGCAGGCCTTTGTTTCGCAAAGTGGGCATTTTGCAGTTTTGCAAGGTTACAAAACAGTTCTTTGAATAATCAAATGAAAGCAAATACTGCTTGTATGAAGAACGGCGAGGACCATTAAAAAAACGCAGGTGTTTTGGTTGGACAAGAATTCCAGCAGCTTCTGACGTGCTTCAAAGGCCCTGTACCGTTACCATTGCTTTTAAAAACTAGTTCTGAAGAGTACAAGTAGCTGACAATTGCACAACCCTAGAATTTTACTTATTTCCCTAAAAACCGTGTGATAGGGTTTAGCAACTGCTACTGTTTAAGAGAAGTGGATTTATGCGCATCATTGAGACAAAGCTATTAGCCGAAATAGAACAGATTTCGACAAATCGTTTGCAAACCTGCTTTAATTTTATGTGTCCTTTGCTTCATCGTGAGTTTGATGGTTGATTCAACCGCATATACATCTTCAGAGAGTTCAAACAATCGCGATTCAGATGGCGCCAATGAGCGTTTTTTCCGCCCGATCATATTTTTGCTGTAATTTTCTCCCACGAAAAAGATTTGTTACTTTAATCAGGTAAAATCTGTCACCTATTTTAAATGACATAGTAATTTAGTGATATGTAGCTCTGCGCCTGTTATCTGCTACAAATTGCGCTGACTGCCCGCAAAATTAAGCAGCTTGTTGAAACACACTTCTTATCCCTTTCTGCTTCGTTATAC